GACAGTTCTCTAAAACGACAGTCCCCTGCGATGTCGCTATAAAGAGCTTCGACTGTATTGCATTTTGCTGACAGGTCTCTTTGGTGGTGAATTTTGTTGCGTTCTTTTTGTGTTGAATCAGCATAGGTTCGATGTTGATTGTGGTTGTTTATATTAGCGTATGGATTTTGCTATCCTTCAAGAACTTGATTGTTTTTTCTATGGAATTTGCATCGTCTCCTAGTATTTCATGTAAAGAGGAGCCCAGGTGATTGGTTTTTATTTCTGCGTGATAGTGGGGCAATCGATTAATAGGGGAATTTACGCATTCTCGTCAATCTAAGCAGCGTCCGCACTTCTATTAGCATTTTCTCAGCGTCATGCTCATATATGACGTGTCTGTTTGTTTAAATTCATCTGCTTCTCTATCCATTCCAATCGACATAATTCTTCAAAACTGTTTGAAAACGTTTTTACAACGCTCCAAACTTCTCAGGTGAGTGTGACTATTGTCGGCAGCCTCTTTTTCTTCGGCAACCTTCCCTATAAAACTGCGTGTTAACCAGCTGTTCTATTATCGGCAACTCGAAATCAGCCCCATTTTGTAGTACGTATGCTTCATTTGAAGAAAAATCTGGCATAACAGGATTGCTCGGGCGTACAAATATAATCAGATTGGAACTGAAAGACTAAATAATCGTTTGGATACATTCCGGGAAGTGTGTTGATGGTAAAACGTAGTGAAATTAACGTTTAAATTTCGGTTGTCGAAAATAGTCAATGGGTGCCGAAGCCAACATTTACCCTATATGCTGAACGGTAATTGGTATTCCACAAGATAGACATATTTCCGGGTCTTCTTTTCTTCAAGGTGGCCATGAGTTAATTTGGTATATCCAATTCTTAGCCTTGTTATGATTCGGCTTGCATATCGATCTTTATTGTATGAGGTGCTCCATTCCGAAATGGTGTTCTTGATTTGCCTGAGCTTGCTGTTGTTCATGAACCATTTGTTTTGCCAAGCTTGGTTTATATGTTCGTCAACCATTCGTTTGAAATCTGCGAATGGTGTGTAAATGTCGGTTGGGGATTTGAACATAGCCCCATGTTTTGCCAGGTCGTCTGCTTTCTCGTTGCCCGTCATCTTATCGTTACGTTTCTTTTTCCTTGGGGGAGATTCGATGGGATTGCCTTGGCTCCTGGTTTTCCTGATGGTTTGTATCCGTAGAGTTTCAGTGTGTTCTCCAGTTTGGAATAATTTTCTTTGAGAATTTCGAGCTCCTTTTCTGCCGTTTTCCTTTTTTGTTTTTCTTCTCTGTAGGCATTCCCGAGCAAAGCTGAACATCAAATTGAAATCAAAATTTGCTGTTATGATGTAACATATTTTGAATACTCCAGTTGATCTCATTTTGGTTGACTTAACGGTTAACACAGCAAAAATGAGAGCAAAATTTTACACTGTTGAAGCAAACGGAAAACTAATCCTGCTTTCAATGAAATCAATTTGATTACTGATTTTGCATTCATAATGTTTAACTGAATACGGGCCTAGAGTAAATGGTTACCATTCATGTTTCTCAAGCTGAAAGACTTAGGCTCCAATCTCACCGCGGGCAAGTCACGAATGACCTACAATGTGTTAAACAAATCAGATAAACGATAATCATTAGTTCAACGACAGATGAATTTCAATTAAATTTTAAACAAGACGTAAACAGCAGAACTTCAAGTTAAGTTGCTTTCATTTAAAACGTCTTGACTGCATAATGAAAGCACAATATGATATCAGACTTATGTCGCAACATTTGAAACCAAAATGAGTTTTCATTATGATAGGAACTGCACACTTTAATATCGATTTGCTTTCATTTTGTTAACCGACTTTGCTCGGGTTAACTGCCTGTTCAAACTGGTTTTGCATTTCCAATAACTTATTTTCTATCTCCTTATTTTTTGTTCGAACTGTTTCTGCAGATCTAACCTTAGGGCTTCCGCGTAGGATTTCTTTTCTTCATTTAATTGTTTGATCTTCTCATCAAATTGTTGGGTTAATGCACTTTTAATGGAATCTGAATACGTGATTTTATTTTCTCTTTCCACTATTTTCTAGCTTCCCAAAAGTTAATATTTCTGTCCACTTTTCACAGATTTCATGGAATGCCTCACCGCATTTGTTACACTTTTTTTCACTGTAACAAAAATTCCAGTGGGAGTTTTGTTCTGATCGCGTCCTTTCATAATCTGCCGAACTTCAGTTATTCCTGTTTTCGATAGGTCTTCGAGTAAGTCTTGGTCACTGTCAAACTTTATGTCCTGGCAAAAAACCACTACTTTGCACGAGTTAAGAGTTTTGTGCTCGTACACTTTGGTGAAAATTCCTTGAGCCAGCTTTTCGATTTTAGCCAGGTTTCTGGCCTGGCTTTTACTTTTAACGTGGACGAGAATTTTTCCGTCTTTCGTTTTTTTTTGCGCTTGCTACTTCCCCGCAGTAAGCTTTAATTGTTTTATCGACGAGAATCGGAGAGACTCCGTGGAAGAATTTACCCTCCTCTCCCCTTTCCATAGCTAAAATCTTTTCACCACCTCCACCAGAGGTTTCCCCCAGCCGGGGAAACTAGAATTATTCATCTGGTAAATTTAAACCACTGCGTTCGGTGAACAAATTGCACACCGGGTTTATTGACACTCGCGATTTGATGACTTATCACTTTGGCCGTTCGACCGCGCGTGTAATGTGACACCACTCGAGGGTATTTAATTGAACACAAGCGAATTAAAAACAGCGACTGTACTGAACCGTGGTCAAGCTTATGCTGAACTAAGAGGTGGACGTCTGAGTTTTTCCACATTTAAGGCTTGTACTCGAAAAAAATGCACCATTTTTATCCGTGTGTATCTTTTCTATCCGTGGGTAAAAATTGTTTAACATCTGGGTATAACTAGTTTGGAGTGAATTTTTTACATGTGCAAAATTTCATAACAATCGGTTAACGAAACCGATGTGTGTGGTTATGGAAGACGAAACCTACATCAAGGCAGACGCAAAGCAGATACCGGGGCTGGAGTTCTACGTTGCCAAATCACGGTTTGATGTTCCGGAAGACATAAGGAAGAAGAAAGTGGACAAATTCGCCAAAAAAATACTTGCTTTGGCAGGCCATATGCCAATGCGTTAAACTAAGTAAACCGTACATCACAATGGGTACCATCAACAGCGAAATTTACCGCACCAAGTGCCTCCAGAAGCGTCTGTTGCCCTTCCTGCGGTTCCACGGAGGCGAGACATTATTTTGGCCGGACCTGGCATCATGCCATTACGCGCGATCGACGTTGGATTGGTACAGACATAATAACGTTGTTTTTGTACCAAAAACCGCCAACACCCCAAATTCACCAGAGATTCGTCCGGTGGAAAGATTTTGGGCCATAATGAAGGCCAAAGTTCGAAAATCGTCCAAGGTGTTTAAGAACGAGCTGGAGTTGAAGAAAGAGTGGATGAAAGTGACCAAAAAGGTTGGCTCCACCATTGCACAAAAATGTAATGAGGGGTTTTAAGGGAAAGGTGCGGGCTTTCAGCAATGAAAAGGAAATTGAATAAAGTAATTATGCCGAAACATAATCCATATGTATTAGTACATTCCCTGAAAGTTTCAAGAAAATCCGACTTAAAATAAATTTTTGGCGAACACTTTTGTCTGGTGCATTATTTTCGAGTACAGGCCTTATATCGCTGTGAAGCAACTGTAAACTTTAGAGGGAATTTATATCTGTAACTGAAACCAGTTTGATTTTGTTTGCTAACCTGGTTTAGTTGTCATATTTAATTATCTTAAAGATAAATCGTCCAACTCAAACCTTTTTAGGAGTAAGAGGTGGGACCATCATCATCATCATAATCATCAGCATCATAATCATCATCATCATCATCATCAGCATCACCATCATCATCATCATCATCATCAGCATTACCATCAATGAGTGGTATTGCAAAAAAATGGACCTCTTGGTTCAGTTTCAAGGACTGGACTTTTTTTTATGGATGTTTCGGATCTTCCTGGTGGACCATCTCGTGGTCCCAAGAGTCCATTTTACGATCACAACTACCATTTTATTTTTATGAGACATCTATGAGTGGTTAAGAAAAATCAGATTATGAATTTACCGCTTTTAGGGATGATTTGGATCCTCTGGAGGGCTGTTCCGTGGTTTCAAGGGTAAATTTTTCAAAGGCAACTTCGAATCCATATTGATAAGACGTTCCGGATCTTCCGGTGAACTATTCCGTAGTCCCCAGGGTTAATATTCCGGACATAACTCTGAATTCATTCTGACAGGACGTCTATGAGTGGTTTCGAAAAAAAAACCGCGGGGCTCTAGGATCAGTTTCTTGAATTGACCACTTTTACGGATGTTCCGGATGTTTTGTGGACCATGTCGTGGTTACCAGTGACATGAAAATTCCGGTCATAGCTTCACATTAATTATGATGAGACTTCTATGAGAGGTAAAGCAATTGGAGAGGCACCTGACCCGAGGTGACAATTGTCACTTCACCATCACTTCACTCCCCCTTATTCTGCATCGCGAGTGAGGTACATGTACATCGGCGAAACGTCCTTCGGCGAAATGACGCAGTCCCGCAGAATAGGCCTAATTGAAGGCTCACCATCGTTTCTTTATAAAGAACCGTAATCCAGATGTCTTTATCCTAAATCATTTTGGTGTACGGTTTTGCATTATACCGATGAAGTACAGGTAACAACGAAAACGACATGACATGCTGTTTGACAAACTGGCTCTCCCTTTCATTTTTCGTTAGGTAAAAGCGATAGCAGGTATCTCAGGCGATAAGTAGATTGTGTTGTCGCGCAGTACTCTTGAAATTAGCAACAGGAAGTTTGTTCCCAAAGTTTTCGAACTGCTTGTCTATACAAAATCCCTCATCGAAGCAGCTTGATTGAGAATCACCGACCCCCTAACCATGGGAACTAGTTGACTGATGTTCGTTTTACCATTTTCAGCTGAACCAAATCCAATCACGAACAATGGTGTCGGGGTACTGAGCAACAAGCTGACGCGCCTGACGTTGGCCACATTCGATGACGAGGGGCGCTGCATTGGCCAGATGGGGTCGCTATCAATTAGTTATTAACATTTAATTCTCGTCTAAGTGGAGAACGTGTTGTATAGTTTCTAGCATAGGGTTACGAAGCATATTGATCATGGCAAATGGATGGAACGTAAACGTAGTGTGGGAAGATGTTTCCGATGGAAGGATTGAGGTGTTTAGAAGATTAGCTAATCGCAGCGAAAAAGCTCTGAGCTGTGAAAGAAACTACGGCAAACGGTCCCGATTCGTCCTCCTCTTCCTGACTAGCAAATTCTAATCAAATGAAACATAGCAGAAAAATAACTCAGAATTCAACTCTAAGCCGTTGATATTCACGTGATACTGTACGATAAGGATACAAATAGCAGAACAAAAATCCGCATTCACTCCCCCATCACATTAGGGTCGAAACGCGAACTGAAGAAGTGTAGGAAGCTAGTGAATCGGATACGAATTTACTGTAAATAGGTAATCCAATCGATTTAAAACAATATCTTTTTAAATGAAGACAACCGGACAGCAAACCTTGTATTCTATAAAGACAAACTAGTTCAATATTACACCAACATAAACGCATTCACTCACACTCAGTCATTCTCACTTGTAAATCTATATAGCAAACCAAACAAAATACAAAAATCCCACGCGTTTCCTTGTATAACAAAGTCCTGAAGAAGCAGAAGATAAACACAACAAGTATATTCTTACAATTCTGAACAACACACACAAAACCCAAACCACTCAAAGTAACACAAATATACATACACGTACACACACAAAGCAACTCACACACAAACAAAAAATCCAATAATGATTCGAACCAGTATGGAATTTATTAGTCAAACATGCTGCTGAGAAAGGGTAGAGAAACGGAAGATGCTGTAGAAGAAGGAAGACGAAAAAGAGGTAGTAGAAGGCAAAGTGGTCAAATAATTTTGATAAGTTCAATTTAATAAGGAAAAAAATATACCAAGTGAATATGTAAATCTACCTTATATATACCGGATAAGATAAATATATATTTAGATATTTTATACTGAAACCAACAAAGCAGCAGCAGATTCGAAGTGGAACAGAAGTATGACAATGCAAAAGAAGGCAGGAGAACGCATGGAATGCGAATATGAATGGACAAATATAAAATGGAATCGAAATGGAACAAGATCACTAGAATGGGATAGAACAGCATGGCAGAATATCGGAGAAGGGAAGAAGTCAAACGATATCAATAATGTAAGCTAAGTTAGTTTGATCAGCAATGGACAAATATGAATTACAAAAAAAAAGGATGGCAATGAAACAATACACGCAGCGGCAGAATTGCAGTAGCAGAAGAAGAGTGTTAGAAAGAGAGAGAGAAAGGAAAATGAAAGATGATTAATTTTGAATAAAAAACGTATCTGTAAGTTTGTTTGATGATTATTTTATTTGCTGAGAAATTCCCGAACACATTGATTATTTCGATCCTGTGGGTTTGACGATATCGGCAAGGCTTTCTCAGCATAGAAATTCAATCTATTTCACGGCAAACAAAGTGTATTTCACACAAAAATTTCAAACTCACTCACGTGATCAGTCAATTTCAAACCACACACACACACTCAAGACCCTTGATTAAAACATCACTAAGGCTCGCGAATTTTCACTGCCAGTGGTGATCCTCCCAGTCGTTCGTCCTCGTACAGTGCCTTCTCCAGATGCTCCGCCTTCTGGCGGTACTCATCCCGGAGATTCTCAATCCTCATCTGCACCACGTTCTTGCTCAGCTCGATATTCTCGCCCTCCATGATGAACTTGTCGTACTCCTCGTCTGCAAAGTGCTCCTGGAACTTGCTCAAAAACCGTCGCAACGAATTTTCCTCCGACAGCAGCTCATCCAGCCGGACCTTCATCTCCTCCTCCAGCCCGTTGTAGAACTTGCGCAAATCTTCCTTGCAGTCCTGGTAGGCAGCCATCAGCTTGCCATGGTTGGAGGCACTTTCATCCAGCCGGACCAGATACGGTGCCAAAAAGTCCGCCTGCTGCTGTTTGATGAGCTCCTCCCGCGCTCGGAGCTGTTCGTATTTTTCCAACCGCATACGACGGGCTTCTGCATTGCGCAGCGGATCAAACAGGCTGAAGGTGAGCTTGGGCGAATCGATTTGCCTCTTGCGTTCCCGGAGTAGACTTTCGATTTCCACTACCCGCCGGAAGAAGGCACGGGTCGAGGCTTCTTCGGCTTTCAATTGCTCTTTGAGCAGCAGAAACAGCTCCAGATGGGTCGGTTGTGGAGCCCATGGATTGGACTGAAATCGAGATCGAAATTAGTGTTTTAGGATAAAATTTTATGCGGCAAGCCGTACAATGTAACCGGAAGTGCATTTTGAATCGTAAGGCACTTCCTCGCCCATTTCGGACACGGGTGGTTTTATGAACTGCCGAGTGGAAGCGGTGATGCAGTCTTCGCCGTAGTGGAATTGTAGCAAAATCCGGTTTTCATCCACATAGCACGTTCTGGTGGCGATATTCCGAACGGCTTCCTTCTCCGGGTTGCGGTGGTACTTTTCGGTTATTTGCTGTGGAATGAACGGAAGAAGGGGAGGAAAGCGTTATAGCACGCTAAGCTCATGCGGTGAAGTACTAGAGTGCAAGAATAGTGCCGGATAAAAACGGAAAGCATAATGTTGCTATAAAGCGCGTGTGGAAGGACAATGTTGGAAGCTTTATGCTGTGTCGTTTTTTTTTATCTTAATGCTAAGCTTTGCAAGTGATGTCATGAGGCAGTTCCAATTGGAACGGAGTATGCTTGATTGGATTTATCATGATTGATTCAGACGAATTTCGTGCACTTTGAGTAGTTAGTTTCAAAACTTAAGAATTACTAACGATATTTATCATTCACGTCTATCGGGAATAATAATACCCTTCTAAATATTTGCGGAACAATCAACTCTACCTAATTTGATGTTGAAGAAACCCTAAAGGGATGGATTTTAAAGCATTACATATTTTAAATTGGAATGCTTTATCTCTAAAAGAAAATGAAGACGAGCTATTTAACTTTTTGAGAGTTCATAACGTGCATATTGCCGTTATAACTGAAACGTTCCTTAAACCTGACCATAAGGTTAAGAAGGACGCAAATTATTTAATTTATAGAAATGATCGTCTTGATGGACCCTGTGGTTGCGTTGCCATCATTGTTCATAGACGAATCAAACATAAAATTATTTCTTCATTTGAAACCAAAGTTTTTGAAACTTTGGGTGTTTCTGTTGAAACAAAATATGGACAACTTACGTTTATAGCTGCCTATTTGCCATTCCAATGCGTAGGCCAGCAAAAGAATTTTCTCAAGGGTGACCTCCAGAAACTTACCCGGCATAGGTCTAAATTCTTCATTATTGGTGATTTTAATGCAAAACACCGCTCATGAAATAATGCTCAAAGCAATTCCAATGGTAATATTCTGTTTGATGATTGTTCTGCAGGTTATTACACTATTCAATATCCAAACAGCCCAACATGCTTTTCTTCTGCAAGAAATCCCTCCACTATTGATTTGGTCTTAACTGATTCATGTCAACTTTGTAGCCAACTGGTTACCCATGCTGACTTCGTTTCTGATCACCTTCCAGTAACTTTTGAAATATCCCAAGAAATAATTTGTAATCCCAACAGCTCTACTTTTAATAACCATAGAGCTAATTGGGAGCAGTATCGAACATTTATGGAATATAACTTCGATCCAAACATTCCTTTGCAAACCAAAGATGAAATTAATTATGCTCTTGAATCTCTGACAACTTCTTTTGTTGAAGCAAGAGCTGCCTCAGTACCAAAATGCGATTCAATTATAATAGACAACGATCTTCAGCTCTTGATCAGTCTTAAAAATGTCCGTAGGAGACAATATCAAAGAACACGCGATCCTGCCATGAAAGTTATCTGGCGGGATTTGCAAAAACAAATTAAAAAGCGATTCTCTGCCCTGAGGAACAAAACTTTTGAAAATAATATTTCTAAATTAGACCCGAGTTCCAAACCCTTTTGGAAACTCACAAAAAATTTGAAAAAACCTCAAAAGCCTATTCCAGCGCTTAAATAAGGTGGAAAAATTTTGATCACAAATTTGGAAAAAGCTCAGAAACTTGCTAAGCAGTTCGAGAGTTCCCATAATTTTAGTTTGGGTCTTACTAGTCCTATTGAGAATCAGGTTGCTCGGGATTATCTGAATATTTTCTCCCGGGAAAATATTTTTGATGATTCCTGGGGGACTGATTTGGACGAAGTAAGGTCTATAACTAAAAAGTTTCAAAATATGAAAGCTCCAGGTGATGATGGAATTTTCTATATCCTCATCAAAAAACTCCCAGAGAGTACTTTGTCTTTCTTGGTAAAATTATTTAACAGATGTTTCCATTTGGCATACTTTCCTGATAAATGGAAAAATGCAAAAGTTGTTCCAATTTTGAAGCCGGATAAAAATCCAGCTGAAGCTTCTAGCTACCGTCCAATAAGTTTGCTTTCTTCAATGAGTAAACTTTTTGAAAAGATAATACGAACTCAATTTTTGCAGATCAGCAGTTTGGATTTTGCCATGGGCATTCAACTACTCATCAACTCTTAAGAGTTACCAATTTAATTCGTTCAAACAAATCTGAAGGCCACTCAACTGGAGTTGCTTTTCTAGACATAGAAAAAGCATTCGACAGTGTTTGGCATGAAGGTTTGATTGCTAAATTAAAAAAGTTTAATTTTCCACTTTATATTATGAAATTAGTTCAAAATTATTTAACTGACAGAACTCTGCAGGTAAATTATCAAAATTCTAAATCTAATCGACTACCTGTTAGAGCAGGAGTTCCTCAGGGTAGCATTTTTGGGCCTATATTGTATAACATTTTCACTTCGGACCTCCCTGATTTGCCTCAGGGTTGCCACAAATCTTTGTTCGCTGATGACACAGGCATTTCCGCTAAAGGAAGAAGTCTTCGTGTTATTTACAGCAGACTACAGAAAAGTTTAGATATTTTCTCTTCTTACTTACAAAAATGGAAGATTTCTCCAAACGCTTCCAAAACTCAACTTATAATATTTCCACATAAGCCTAGAGCTTCGGTTTTGAAACCCAGTAGTAGTCACATAGTCACTATGAACGGAGTTCCAATTTCCTGGTCAAACCAAGTGAAATATCTTGGATTAATACTTGACCAAAAATTAACTTTTAAAGATCACATTGAGGGCATTCAAGCTAAATGTAACAAATATATAAAATGTTTGTATCCTCTTATAAACAGGAAATCCAAACTTTGCCTGACGAATAAACTTCTAATATTTAAACAAGTTTTTAGACCAGCCATGCTTTACGCTGTGCCAATATGGTCTAGTTGTTACACTACCAGGAAAAAAGCACTTCAAAGGATTCAGAACAAAGTTCTGAAAATGATTTTGAAGTTGCCTCCCTGGTACAGTACTACCAAAGTACATAGAATTTCGAATGTTGAGACTTTAGAACAAATGTCCAACAAAATAATTAATAATTTCAGGCAAAAATCGTTGCAATCCTCAATCGCAACGATTAATTCCCTTTATACTTTAGATAAGATTTAGTTTTAGTTTTTAGTTTTAAGATATCAATTGTTATACTGACATGCAGATTTTAAAAACCTGTTTAAAATACTGAATTGCCAAGGCAGGAACAATGTAAAAACACTTAGATATATATCATAACAATTAAGGCTGGTATGTTACTGTAGTAAGTGGAGCACCTAGGTTAAAATGAAATGGAATTTACTTTGAATTTGGAGCAAATAAAAAGTTAAAAAGAAAAAGAAGAAAGTGCGAATTTTCATTGGAAACGAAGAGAAATGATGTGTATTGATATTTTTTTCCTAAAAGTACAGTGAATTACATTTGTTTTGATGTAATAACCTTATTTGTACGTCAATCCAGTACCGAGATACAGATGATTTTATTATTCCGGATTCTAAATGGACATTGCTTTGTAATTTGAAGTTTGGCTTTCCGCAAAGTTATAGCTTAGAAAATTTCCGATAAGAATAGCTATAAAACTTTTTATCACAGCAATATCGAAAATGACTAGAAGTTAATTAACAAAAAGTTTGGAAAGCCTTGTTATGGGAAGGGAATTTATGTTTGTGAAAAAGGTAACAGGTCAGGAAGACAATAATAATACAAATTCTTTTGCATCCCGTATAACATAATACTTACAGTTAGTTTGCAGTCTTCCATGGTCACTGGGTCCCTCGGAATGTTTTTGAACTCTCGGTAGTACAACCTAAAAATCATAAATTTTAAAATATCATTCGATCATCCACTCCACATCGCCCTTCACTCACAAATCGTCCCGTTTATCGTAGTGCTCCTGAACGTACGACGGATGATAGACCAGCTCCTTCAACGAATCGAACCGGTACTGATGGAAGAACGTCAACCGACACTCTCGGTGCGGTTCCGAGCTCCGTCTCAGCGCCTTCAGCGAATCCGGCCGTCCTTTGGCAAACATTTCTTCGATTTCCTTCCTTCCGTAGTCGTGAACGATCATCGTGAGGGAGTCATCTCGATTAATGTACCACTCCCAACGGGTGGTCGAATTTTCATAGTTCAACGTTTCGTACAGCGTGAGCCGTTTGATCAATCCGAGTAAATTTGAATACGGAGCAAACCGTTCGTAGATGGCACGCTTGAAGTAGATCACCTTTCTGCCTTCCGGGTAGCGTTGTTCGTATTGGGACATTGAAATCGACAGCGGACCAACCCAGGACGTCGGTAGATCCAAGTGCTTTTCCTTTTCCAACTCTTCCTCGGTTGTCAGCGGTTCCTGATCCTCTGGAACAACGCAATCATCGCGCAGCTCGAATGGTTCCCCAGGGAGAAAATGCTCCCAATTCTTTGTTGCCTTGAAATCCCAGCGCATGTTCTTGATATCCGTGATGGGATTCTGTTTGTTGACGTAGTAGTTGTGCTGATTCCATACACTCTCGATCGCAAGGTAGTTCGGGGAATCGACTTCGAAACGGAACCCGGAAGCAGGCTCAATAAAGAAGGCACTCGGAGGAAGCAGCACCCTCTCTCCGGTGTTTGGATCGATGGTCGTTTCACGGTAGCCCGGTTTGTAACACCAGGGAGCATTCTCAATGATGGCAACCCACGCATGAACCCGGTGTCCTTGTTTGGTATCCACCGTGGGGCGTTCCAAGTCTTCAATTTCCCTGAGGTGAGCTTCCTCACGTTTGCGTTCCTCCTCCTTGATCTTGGCTACCTTCTCCTCTTCCAGTTCCAGCAGGTAGCGGCTGCGTAAGTCGGGGGGATCTCGCAACTGATATTTGCTCGGTTCAATCACCTCGTCCTCGCTGCCCTCCTGCGAAAGTGGGAACGGTCCAGAGAGAGAGAGAGAGAAAAAAATAAATACCAGAAGAAAGGGATGAGTCCGGGTAATCAGTATAAGCTGAACAAGTGTTGTTTTGTGGTCAATGGCACGCAGGAAGAGCAAGGTAGACGAAACGACTAAATTGTTGTAACAAGGCACACACAAAAAAAATATGACGAATGCCTCGAGCGAAGCGGGGAAGCATAGAACATGTGTTGCGCACATGTTGTGCCGTTCTTTAGTGGATCCCATCTCGTGGGTCCGTGGACTTTCTCGGTTTTGATAATGCTAGCCTTTCAGTAGTGGTTGCCCTGTTGATGCTGCTGTTGCTCCTTTAGCCTTTGAAGGGCCAACGAAGGAGTTGCTGCCCACTTCCTCACACTTGACTCTTGTTCCACATATTTTTGTTTTGCCCGCCTGATTATTATCATTAGCACGACTTGTGTCAAAAGCAAAAAAATAAAGAAAAGCAAAACCCAAAGAAAGTAGATCAGCAACAGCAGCAGCAGCACCGCAACGAAACGGCTCGTTGATTATTCCGTTCTCCAGAAGTTTTAGCGATCGTGCAAAATGTTAATATCGCGAACCGATGAAAGGGTGCCTATAGTTAAGAGCTCACAGGTGAAGTGATAAGCAGCCGGGTCGTATGTGTGCGTGTGTGTGTCGTCATCGTCATTGCGTTCATTCGTTGCTTCATTTTCACATTTAACTATAAATTAATAACGCTGTGGTCTTTTTTCTTCTGGCATTTATACCTGAACCTGGCACGGAATGTAGGGACAGCAAACCCGGCGCTGGTCGTTGTTGACGATCTCCCGTGTAGCGTAACCGGACACCACGCACGCTGCAAATCCATTTCCTATCAAATAGCTGCACAGAAGGGTGGCCAGCTCGAAACTGTTTGCTTTGCGACGCTTGAGGATGGTGCTCGGCGAGAGGAGACGGATTGGCTGTAAAGGAAAATGGAGAAGAATGTCAGTATTTTGCTTTAAATAGTTGAGCCTCTCATTGAGTTCTATAGCTTAGGAACTATCTAAAAATTATTGTACTTAATTTGATAAAAATTATTATTATTATTATTATTATTTGCTCTTTAGAGTTTGCATTCGCTTTGGTGTTAATCAAGCTGCACCAATTCGTACATGGTACGAGTCATATATAATCGTACGAGTGATGTATCTCATATGAGGTTGTGCATTTGACATTAATCACAGCTTTTAAGATGGAAGTGATGTAACCTCCAAAGACCGAAGACAATCCTGGCCATATTATTGCAGCTGGTGGGGATAGGATGGATTATTGACGCTTACTTAACCCTTTAAGTCTGATTTTTTTTTTCAAAAACCATATTTAAAAAAAATTCTAACGCTTTGACGGGATGATGTAGGACGTCCAAATTATCCTAAAGTTTAGATCAATCTACCAGATCATCCATATTTTCTACAAGGCTCTTAGAAAGGATACCTCTTCAAACAAGTTCTTATATATAATGCACATCATCTACGTTTCAATTCCATATGTTTACGATTTTCTACTCTAGGTTCTCCAAATTGTCCAGTAGTTCAGGCTATTTGATGTAGTGGATCAACCGTCCTCAGTGATGAAACCTGTTGAAACATGTTCATTGAGTTTTTGCACATCATTTATACACTGAAACCTTCATTAACGAAGTCGTTTTTTACACAGTGTTCAGTTTATGCCCCTCTTCTTACGAAGTAAATCCCAAAAAGCGAGGTTTTTTTTACGTAACGGGTGGCAACTAAAATTTTGGAATTTCTTTCTCAAGCTGTCAAAAAAAGACAAACATACTTGAAGAAGATCTGATTTATTGAAATTAAAGATACATTTGAAAACGGTCCGTAATCGGATGTTCGGCGAAGCTTCCGTTTGATGTCGGAACAGGAGCGTTGTACGGCCTTCATGTCAACTTTGCGAATGCATCTCTTGATTCTACCAATCAACTGTTTGCAATTCGTGGCTCTCCAGTTATTTTTGTACACCAAGGAGCTCAAAACCCCGAAGAAATCTCGATGAACATTTCAAATGGTCCTATCTGCTTTGATCGATTCTCTTAATCGACTTTCTCTTTTCATAACCACTGCTATGCAAACAGATTTCGCTTTAATTCTACCACATAGTTTGATAAAGGAGGTGCTTATCTAGCGTCCAAAACGTCAAATACAACAGGGAAAGGTTTTGCAGCTGAGTTATTGACGAAAGAGAAAGTCGATGAAGAGAATCGATCAAAGCAGATAGGACCATTTGAAATGTTCATCGAGAAATCTTCGATTGGGCGACACTGAGGTAGATTTGTCGGGTTATGGTTTTTGGGTACAAATGGGATCGAATTCAAGAACGATTGTGTTTTTTTGGCGTAATGCGATTACGCTTTATCCGGCCAAAACACGTATTGTCCATCAGCATGATGTTTTTGTAGAAACGGGATCAAAATTTTCTTCAAACATTCGTTCTGGTACACATATTGATTGATTGCCAAACCAGAGGGCTTGAACCATGGCTTAGAAATGCCTTTCTCGGAAATTTTTGCGTCCATAATTTTGGCTGGTCTTCCACTACCTTGCTGGCGAGCAGTTGTTGGGGATCTTAGGATATGGTCAACAGTCGAAGCCGCAACATTTTCGCTTTTAAAATGTTGTACCGTATACTTTTTGCCGAGATTTCTGTGCAGTTCGTAGAACTGTACAACGCGCTCGCGAAATATTTCTTGTTTCGACGGCATTTTGAGCAAAACTGAGCAAGCATAAACAAAACAGAAAATACTAGCAGAAAGAGGAGAGAGAGAGCTAACACATACACACTCTTATTTCTCTCAGAGCTCGTTTGTTGTTGAGGATAGAGGCCTCGAACAAATTCCAAAATTTTAGTTGCCACCCGTTAGGTAGGGGAAATGGCTCTAATGTTGGCCTATGGATCTAAGATTGGGCCCATCGCTAAAAATCTGCTATTTATCAATTTTATCTAGATGAACGCGTCATTGGGACGGTACTAATCGATATTTTTGATCGCTATTGAAAATTTAGTTGCTTTCTGAATTTATGTATGGGCCTAAATTGGGGGAATTTAGGCCGACATTACATTCATTTCCCCTATATTCCAAATAAGGAGATTTTTTTTTGCGATTTTTGGAAACTGGGATATACGGTGATATACCCCACAATATGGGTATTTTTGGAATCGACATGACATGTAAGAACAACGGCGCCGGTGGTGTAGTGGTAAGCGTGCCTCTCACCCCAACAGGCCTGGGTTCAATCCCAGTCGGCGCCGCCGGGATGTTCTGAGGCATAACATCTCTGATCACGCCTTCCTTCGGATGGTAAGTAAAGCCGTTGGTCCCCGGTTCATGAGTTGATGGGTCGATAGGTAGGGTCCAGGTGTGGGAGCTGCCTTCCTGGCACGTCGGTAGCATTGGTGCTTAGCACGGAAAACAAGATCGACGGAAAAAAACAAACCAAAGGAAAAAAATGACATGTAAGGATCTGAAATCGATGTTTGACGCCATTTTAAGTCCAAAATGGCGGCTTTCGGTATCAGAAAAACTTGTTAATTATGTTAAATACCCCATGGATGGATTTCCGGTATTTTTGGAATGTGAGTGGCGTGTAGGAACCGGAAATCCATCACTGCCGCAATTTTGATCCAAGATGGCGGCTTCCAGTTACTGGTGCCTAGTTTGAAAATTGCTTCAATGCTGATGTCAAATAGTATTTATCGCAAAAAGGGTTGCCATTGAAAGTTCTTCTCGTTTTGGATAACGCCACCAGTCACTTCAGAATTGTACACCCGAATGTACAGATTTTGTTTCTCCCACCGAACACGACATGCCTTATTCAGCACTTCGACCAGGGAATGATATTTCTTTTTAAAGAGTACTATGTCAAGCAGACCTTCAGATTTATCTTGCACAAACTAGACTCTGACGAGAAACTATTAGTACCGGCAGCGTACCGGCAGAAATTGTTATGCTATAGGGGAAATGGCTCTAATGTTGGCCTACGGATCTAAGATTGGGCCCATCGCTAATAATCTGCTATTTATCAATTGTATCTAGATGAATGCGTCATTGGGACGGTACTAATGGATATTTTTGGTTGCTATTGAAAATTTAGTCGATTGCGGAATTTATGTATGGGCCCAAATTAAGGACACTTAGGCTGTCATTACATACATTTCCCCTATATGTAAACTAATTCCAGATAATAAATCCATAGACAATGACGAAGCATTCCCTCATCATACTGTGAGTAGTGAAGGGTATAACGAACTCAAACATTGATTATTTTAGAAGTTATAACGTTTTTCTTCTTTAGTAGGTTGATTAATTCCCCGTCATCAAAAAACTTAAGTAAAATCAGCATTTCAAATAACATGAATATAGAAAAAAGGGGAAGCATTAATTAAATGCCATTAAAATTATTTTCTTTTAAAATCAGTCAACTACCACTTAGAATAGCGGCGCCAGTGGTGTAGTGGTGAGCGTGATTACCTTTAACTCCAGCAGACCTGGGTTCAATCCCAGTCGGCGCCGCCGGGATGTTCTGAGGCATAACATTTCAGATCGCGGAAGGGAAGTAAAACCGTTGGTCCCCGGTTCATGAGCTGATGGGTCGATAGGTGGTAGGGTCCAGGTGTGGTAGCTGCCTTCCTGGCGTCGGTAGCATTGGTACTCAGTACGGAAAAAAAACATAACACCAAAACAATCTTCTAAAGCTTCATAGTATCCACCGGATACATAAACTACAATAGATCACATGTTGCACTTGGACATCTCAAGATCATACGATCCAACGATGTCCATATATTTAAATGCCATTTTCACAATATTATATACATTCACTTTAACCCACTTTTTAAAAGGAATTCTGCAATGCTCGTTCAGCTGCACTTGTTGACAGGTTAAACAACCTATTTTAGGTAAAATAAATAATCTTAATTACGAAAAATGTCGCCTTCCGCAATTTCTTTGCCAGGGAGGTAAAAAAAAACTTCATGAACGCTAAATTTTGGCCAAAAGTTGTAACGTTGAACTGATGATTGACATTTGGAGAGGGATGGTGAGGGGTGTCCCCTTCGCCACCACTGGCAAAAAGAGATGAAAACCGACTGCTCAAGTACCAAGTTGTTGTAATCACTCTCCAAAGGCGGAGTTTGGTAAAGAGAAATAAAAAAACCGATTTGTACCTTCCTTAAAAGTTGTCCTAGCTCGCTATTCTAATATCTATATGCAATCTTCACACTGCCGTACTCTAACGGAACTATCAACTCTATGCTTTCATCTACTCCATCTATCGTATAAAAATTACCACTACAGTCTGTTATTTGAAATTAGCATCTTCAACTATAGATTTCTATGATTTTCCGCTTGTTTCAACTTTGGTAGCATGTATCTTCCGTTAGCCAATATATTAAGTTGAAATATTTTCAGCTTTTCTTATCTAGAGTGGCTATGTACTCTCAATTGGCATATCAATATGTGAAATTAAAAATAGTAAATGTTTCTATTAATGGCCACCCTGCTCCCCCAGTGCCGGTCATCGACTGTGACCGTTGGCAGAAACCCACGTAAGCTACTACAAGCCATCATCTGGTGAGTCAACCAAGCTTTTATCTTTTTGTGGAGTGTGGCATCCGGTGAGGGCACCACGGAGTAGTTATTTGTCAGTCCTAAGGCTGATGTAATTTGAGTCGAGTTTCGTGACGACTTGCCTAAACTCGTGACTCGTCGATTCCGCTAAAAGCATGCGCGCGTAATTCGACGCTTCAAATCATTGTCACCAGGAGTACATACCTTGGTAAAGCTGAGCTACCGAGTTGTGACGACACCCAACAACACATAACACCGAGCACATGAGCCCATGAGAGACAAAAACGAGAGTGAGAGTATGCTAGGGAGAGAGAAAAACCGCACACAGTAGGAGCATAGAGGTAACTCTAAAGCAAACCCCACACGCATCAATATATTGACGCGAAGGGGAATTATTGACAATAATATTGATGATGTGAATTCAGAAATATTGTCAATCTCGATATATTGACGTCAATATAGAATGTATTGACAATACGATTATTGTCAATAAAAGTAATCGTGTAGGGTCCACTTAAGACTACAAGGTCTCGAAATAA